CACAGGGGGGCGGGACTGTGCAGCTTGCCCAAGGCCACAGCAACAGGCTCTACTCACAGGGGACACACAGCGGGGAATCAAACTCCCAACCTCTGGCTCCACAGCCAGAAACTTAAACCACTGAGCTATATCTAGCCAACCTTGTGTTCATACAACACTTGAAAGTGGTCTGGGTTCTTTCCAGCAGTCTGATAACAGGTCTGTAATAGTTGGAGATACATGTATGGTTTCAGATGGAGGGTTGAGGGTTTTGGTGATGAGTATGAGATAACAGAGGTACTGCTGCTTATAGAGGCATCTGGACTTAAGACAGTGGTTCATAATTGAGGACTGACTGGGTCCATACTTACTGAGGTTTACTGGTGAACTCCACTAGCTCCTTAGGTAAAGTTTCAGGATCTGTCCTTCCAGTGAGCACTCAGGGTTGATTTCCTTTAGAATTGATAGGTTTGTTCTCCTTGCAGTCCAGGGGATTCTCAAGAGTCTCCTCCAGCACCACAATTCAAAGGCATCAATTCTTCGGCGGTCTGCTTTCTTTATGGTCCAGCTCTCACTTCCATGCATCACTACAGGAAAAACCATAGCTTTGACTATTCGGACTTTTGTTGGCAAGGTGATGTCTCTGCTTTTCAAGATGCTGTCCAGATTTGTCATCGCTTTCCTCCCAAGAAGACGGCGCCTTTTATTTTCAGGGCTGCTGTCTCCATCTGCAGTGATCATGGAGCCCAGGAAGATAAAATTTGACACTGCCTCCATATCTTCCCCTTCTGTTTCCCAGGAGGTGATGGGACCAGTGGCCATGATCTTAGTTTTTTTGATGTTGAGTTTCAGACCGTTTTTTGCACTCTCCTCTTTCACTCTCATTACAAGGTTCTTTTTATCCTTTTTATCCTACTCACATTTTTACATGCTTTCGAACTGCTAGGTTAGCAGGAGCTGGGACAAGCAACGGGAGCTCACTCCGTCACGTAGATTCGAACTGCTGATCTTCTGACCTTGCAGCCCAGAGGCCTTCTGCAGTTTAACCTGCACCACCACCACGTCCCACCATTAGCTCCTTAGGAGGGGCATTTTGTACACCACCTCCGAAAACACAAACCCACAATACAGCAAGTATGAAAATTTCACTAACTGCATCTTCTGTGTTTATTGAGCTACAATCCAGCATCATCCTGCTTCCATTCTTTAATTCCTCATGGGAGAAATACAAGAAGGGGAAGTGGCATGCGCCTTTGGAATTCAACCCAGGCTTCGTAAATGTCGACTGGTTTATGAAATGCATAAAATGCAACCTTTGTTCGTAAGACTCCAGCATGACGTGCAATAAATGCATTAAAACGTCACATAAAACCAAGAAACATAGGCACAACCCCCCACCCAAACAAAACCATACGATAAAACTTAAGAGAGGCGTTAAAATGAAAATGTGCTGGAATACTAAACAGTGTTAAAAAGAAGAGGTTTGCGGTGCCTTTCATATCTGCTACCTGCCCAAATAAGGGCACACCAACTGGCGCTTAATTCGGTTGGCTCCCTTTGGGGAATATTCAGATCTTATCCAGATCTCAGTCCGGGTCTTTGATGATATGTGTGTATTTCTGGTTCTGCTGGAAAACCCCATGGCAGCCAATGAGCAAATGGTCACAGCAAGATCAGGCCATAGACTGAATGGCGTAGGTGGGACAGAAAAGCTGCAGATGTTTACATCGATACACAATGTGTTTGATTGACTGATTTCCCCCTACTTTCCCCAGAGATGTTGGCAAGTCTTTGGGTCCTCAGAAAAAAGAGAGGGGTAGGTGGGATCTGAGCCAGGAGGTGAGCCTGAATCTTTGAAAAAGTATCTTTTTCAAAGATACTTTGAATACTACGCCCCCGAGTAAATCAAGTCTGAGTTGAGTCACCAGGGCGACTTAAGTCCGATTTGGCACCAAGTCTGGCCACTCAAGTCGCCTTCTCTATTTTTCCCCATCTACCAGGAGAAAGCCCCATTGGTTTCCCAAGGCAGCCTCCAGGAAAGGAAACGAGTGGGGGACCTGTCAAAGGACAAAAGGCATGGATCTTTTTGATTCCTTCTTTAAATGGCAGTGCGGGGAGTTTCTCCATCTCGATACTTGCTGCCCTGTCTCCCCCCCATCCTTTGATCTTGGATAAGTAGTGCTGTGAGCACCGCATAGACATTGATGAATTAATCATTGACTTTGCAGCAGGAAATGCAAAGGAGGTTCGTCTTGAAGGTAAATAGCATACTCTTCTTCTCCTTTGCCACCAGCTCAGCATCTGTCAAAACCCAATCACCCTTGCCAGGTGGCCCAGTCCCACAGACTGCTGGGTTTGAGCCCACATACCTGAGAGTGGGTACCTGGGACATAATAGGGCTTCTGTTGGTGTACTGCCCACCCCATGACACAACACTCTCCCCTGCCCAACTGGCTGATCTGGTCTCAGAGGTCTTGTTGCAGTTTCCTCCACTTGTTGGGCTGGAAGATTTCAACATCCATGCGGAGACCAGTTTTTCAAGTGAAGCTCAAGATGTCATGTCTATCATGATGACGATGGGGCTCTCCCAAGTGGTATCAGGTTCCACCTATGTTGCAGGGCTAATTCTTCACCAGTTTTCCTGTACTGAGCAGGACAGTGAGGATCTGGTTGTAGAGGAACTCTTGGTAGTTCCATCACCACATACAGATTACTCCATCCTTGGGTTTAGGCTTATTGGAACTCAAGGCTTCTGCAGGGGTGGGAGAGAGAGAGAGAGAGAGATTAAAATGATTTGCCCTAAGAGACTGGTGGATCCACCGCTCTTGGGGAGTTTCCTCTTGTCTTGGCAAGTGATCCCGTCCAGGCCTTGGTTGCTCTCTGGAGTTGGAAATGGACACAATTGTTCCTAAGCAAACTGACCCTTTGGTTTACTGAGGAGTGGGCGGTGATGAAACGAGAGGGATGGAGACCAGAGTGACAATGGCAGAAAACCCAAAGCAGATCCAATCAAACCCACAGGCTACAGCCCATTGGAAAGCCTATGCCGTGGGAGCAGTGGTGGGAGCGAAGATGCTATTCTTCACTGTCACCACTGCATCCGCACAAAGCCATCCAGCAGAGCTCTTCCAGACGATCAAGGGCTTGTTCCACAGATAGCCACAAGAGAAGGATATTGTGGCTCACTGTGATGATGATGCACAGCACCATGCAGAGAAAGTCTGCTGTGACTCAGACCACAGATAGCCACAAGAGAAGGATATTGTCCACTCCATGGCTCACTGTGATGATGATGCACAGCAATATGCAGAGAAAGTCTGCTGTTGTTAACACAGGTCCTGTTGACGTAACTTTGGCCCCTACTTGTCCCCTTAAAATGGATCTGTTTCAGTTGGTGCAGCCTGATGATGTGGACAGGATCTTTGGAGAGTGAAAACCACCCCATGTGTACTGGACCGTTGCTCTTCCTGGCTTATAAAAGCCGCCACAGGGGGACTAACTGAGTGGGTTAGGGGAGAGTGGCGAATGACACCTTGCAACAAGGCAAGGTACCAGAATTTCTAAAGGAGGCAGTAGAATGACTTTTGTTTTAAAAAGCCCTCCTCGAATCCCCCTGTAATTTAAGATCTTCTGGAAAGGCCCTTCTCTCTTTTCCACTGGCCTTCCCAGCCTCATTCGGTGAGGACACAAGAGAGGGCCTTCTCAGTGGCTGCTCTCAGGCTGTGGAAAGCCCAGCCATGAGAAACGAGGTTCACTCCCCACCCTCTTCTCCTTCTGCCATCAGACAAAGATTTTCCTCTTTAAGCAGGTTTTTAAGCCACAAGTGCCTCTGAAATCCTTTTTTTTAAAATTAACTTACAGCTTTTTTAATGTTTTTAAATGGTTTTAATCTTGGTTTTTGATCTTAATATATGTTTCATTGTCTTGAATATGATAGTTATATAGCATCTTTAATACTGTTGTTTGTTTTATAGTTTTATTTTCCAGCATTGTGGGCCTTCTCGGGTCCCCGAGGGGGAGAAAGGTGGCAAAGAAATAATGTCAATCGATCAATAGATCGCCTTTAGTTTCGGCTTCCTTTTCTCTACTTCTAATTGCAATGTTATGAATTACAGATTAAACACTTGGGATGTGTAAGGGCTCTGCTCCACCTTGCTGATGCCTCTGGGCAAATTGCTCTGCCCTGTGGTTGCCCCGGAAATGCTCAAACGCCCTGATTATTTTTTTTACACATTTTTTTGTGAAAACAGTACACATTTGTAAATAAAATCCTGATGGGAATGGCAGACGTCTTTGCTGCCCACCTAAAGCAGGAATAACATAGAAGGCAGTTCAGCCATCACCCTCCCTTTAGGTTTATCGTGAGGCTGAAAACACAGGCAATGCAGGTTTTCCTTTCTCATATCCAGATTCCAAATTTTTTGGAACTTGAGTGACACGGGCTGGGGGGCTAGGACAAAAAACGCCGACTGCCTTTGGATGGTTTTGTGTACCCATGGCAGTACACAGGCATGCACTCAGGAGAACAGCTGATTCGCTTTCCCTCTCTCTCTCCAACTCATCCTTGGGGAAAGGGGGGAGAGAGAGAGATTATTGTCCTGCTAAACCACATTAGTGCTATTCACATCTGGAGAGTGCAGGAGCCTAAGGAACAAGACACGCACAAAGAGCGGAGAATTGGGGGGGGGCTTTCCACCGGGAAAACAGGAGCTGTTTGCTGCCGGGAGCTGCGCTGGTCGTCGCTGCAAACGGCTGCACACTCTTTCTGGTGCTGCCTCAGTGCCAGGCTGCTTAAAACTGCTCTTCCTTTCCTCCCTCCTTCTCTCTCTCTCTCTCTCTCCCCATCTCTCTCTTTTTTACACACAGAGCAAGGTCTGTCAGCTGGCTCCGCCTCTCCTTCCCCTCAAAATGAGGCAAGTTTCCACTTTGTGTTTCTAGTGGCAGCTTTGCGCTCGCCCTCCCTGGCAGCTACGTGTGCCAGTCACACCCTCCACACAGACGGCTGATTCCTAGGAGCTGGGTACCAGCGGGAGAGAGAGAGAGAGAGAGCATCCTTAAAGTGAGCATCCTCAGCAGCCCTTGGGCTCAGCTTTCTCTCCCCAGGAGAAAGACAACATGCACTCCAACGCAACTTCTTCCCTGTCCCAGCTGGGATACCTGATGGGACATTTTCACTTGCAGCCCACCAGCCATACGATGCCGAGTGCCGGGAACCTCTCCAATGCTTCAGATTCGGAGTCCAAGATGCCCAACGAGGAGGATCTTGATGTGAACACAGACATCTACTCCAAAGTCATGGTCACCGTCATCTACCTGGTGCTCTTCTTGATAGGGACCATTGGCAACTCCATCACTGCCTATACCCTGGTGAGGAAGAAGTCCCTGCAGAATCTGCAGAGTACGGTGCATTATCACCTGGCTAGCCTGGCGTTCTCGGACCTGCTCATCTTCCTCCTCTGCATGCCCATTGAACTCTACAACTTCATCTGGATCCATCACCCTTGGGCGTTTGGCAACGACATCTGCAAGGGCTACTACTTCCTACGGGACGCCTGCACCTACGCCACCGCTCTCAACATCGCCAGCCTGAGCGTGGAACGGTACATGGCCATCTGCCACCCCTTCAAAGCCAAGAGCATCATGTCCCGAAGCAGGACCAAAAAATTCATCAGCTGCATTTGGGTGGCTTCCCTCCTGCTGGCCATCCCAATGATCGTGACCATGGGAGAGGTATACAAGGTCCCCCAAGATCCCGACTCACTCATCTGCACTCAAATCGTGGAAGCTTCCACGCTGAAAGTTGTCATCCAGGTCAGTCTCTCTCTCTCTCTCTCCCTCCCTCTCTCTCCCTCCCCGTCCCTGTTCTGCTTTGTGTTGTTGCTACTGGCAGCTTGTCTAAACTGCACCCGGCTCTAGCTATGTTTAATACCTAGAGATCAGAGATTAGTTAGGGACTAAAAAAAAAAGGATAGAAAGAAGACATACCAAGCAGACGCTCATTTTCCTATAAAGCCATAAGCTTTCCTCTGTCACAGCAGATGACAACAGCCAGCCTCCAGAGCACGCTCAGTTCCTCGTGTCACTCAGCTGTTCAGAATTGTTGCGTGCTGTTGCTGCTCCTCAAAGGCTGGCACAAGCTTGCTGAACTTTGCAAACAGATGACTTTTATTTGTGTGTGTGTGTGTAGATAGACAGATAGACAGATAGACAGATAGACAGACAGACAGATAGATAGATAGATAGATAGATAGATAGATAGATAGATAGATAGATAGATAGATAGATAGATAGATAGATAGATAGATGGTTGGTTGGTTGGTTGGTTGGTTGGTTGGTTGGTTGGTTGGTTGGTTGGTTGGTTGGTTGGTTGGTTGGTTGGTTGGTTGGTTGGTTGGTTGGTTGGTTGGTTGGTTGGTTGGTTGGTTGGTTGGTTGGTTGGTTGGTTGGTTGGTTGGTTGGTTGATTGATTGATTGATTTGTTGATTGATTTGTTGATTGATTGATTTTTTAGCATGTCCTTCAGCTATAAACCCAGAGTTATTTTTAAATTTTCACCTATAAACTGTGAGGGGCACATGATGCAATGAGCATGTTGGCAGCCATGTGCAGCCTGAGGCTATAATCATGATTTAGACTCCAGGTCAGCACATGCTCGGCTGGAAGCTTAGAGTTGTGGCTTTGTAATGTATGAAATGGTTCTGAATTAAGAAATGGATGACAAGCAAAGCAGAGTGTTGGCTATAGTAATAACACTGAAGTTCTATTCCATCCTAAACTGAGCTCTACAAATGGCATAAATGACACCAACTGAATCAATTTGCAGTATTTGTCATTTTTTATATAATGTATTCTGTTGTGTTGTTGTTGTTGTTTTGTTGTATCATTTGTTCCACTTCTGCTCCTAAAAAAGCAAGGAACCATGCAGGATACAGAAGTCTCATCCACTCACTCTGTGTTGTTGTTGTTGTTGTTGTTTTGTTGTATCAATTGTTCCACTTCTGCTCCTAAAAAGCAAGGAACCATGCAGGATACAAAAGTCTCATCCACTCACTCACATCGCTCACTCACTAGGCTTCTTGGATTTTTCACTGGGCATTACAGGAATTTCTTCCCAACAATAAGGGCTAGAAACTTGCTGAGAATAAAACCTCAAGAAAGCTGAAATACACACACATATACACACACACAATTGCATCCTGCACCCAATTCCACATCCTGCAGTTCTGAGCTTGCCAGAATCATTATATAGCATGTGTATAAGGTCAGTTTGTGATGATCTGTGTGCAAAAGATGGCTACATGTTTGATATTTTGGCTACATGTTTGATATATTGTGTTTGATGCACGAGTGGATTTTCCTTAAGAAAGTAAGAAAAGGGAGGAAGAAGCTAGACCTTCATTTTTGACACACAAAGCCCAAGGTTCTGGCTTTGTATTGTTGTTACTGTTGACATGCTATCTCTGGCAATTAGAAGTCTGAGAAACAATGATTCAACCCAAAGTTTAATAAATTAACCCAACAATTTAGGGAGAGAGAAATGGGTTCTGAATTCACTGATTCATTTTAATGATTCTTCTGCCTGTTTAAATGGGAGAAAATCTGTTGCTGCTCATTTTCGTTTAGCGTTGCCCAAGAGGCACCATTAATCTTGAGCTCCTCCATTACAAACCTAGGAATGGGACACTTTTTCTGGTCTGTTTTTGAATGAAGCATATTTAGACTTTTGCACGACATACTCTGCTTGGAAAACGGACAAATAAGAGCAGCTTATTTCAGTGGGAGTGGATGATCTTTACAGTTCTTTTCCTCTTTCATTGCCAGAACTTGTGGCAGTGACAACCAGTTGCAAGCACAGAGGTGTTGTGTTTCCGGGAAAATGTTCACGACATTGTTGAGTAGCAGCATGATGATTTCTATGTATGTTCTTAGAAGTAGCACACCAAAAGCATCCAAGCGGGGGTGGTGGTGGTCAATGTGTATGAAGAGCAGGAATGGATTAGGCAGAACCACAGGTTTTTGAGTTGACAGAAGTGTGGGAGCAGCTGTATATGCAGACTTCAGTGTAGACAAGAGAGGGGACTTTTTCCATGGCTGATCTCCGGAGGTTTCTCTAGCAACCTACCCTCCTTTCCTTCCACTAGCCACTGACAACCTACATCATCATCATCATCATCATCATCATCATCATCATCATCATCATCATCATCATCATCATCATCATCATCATCATCATCATTATTATTATTAGTGGTGGTGGTGGTGGTGGTGGTGGTGGTGGCTTTTGTTGTTGCTATCATTGTCGTTGTTGTTATTAAATATATTTTTACCCCACCTTTCTCCTTAAAAAAGGAAGCAAGGTGGCTTACGTCACTGAAAGACAATATTGGAAGTTAAAACAATAGGTATGCAGATACTGAAAAGGAACAAAATAAATACCACTCTGAGATATGGTAAACACAAGGGATACTTGGTGAAACATTCAGAGAACAAATGCAGGACAATCCATCCCAAACTCACTCCTGTAGCCAGCCATGTAGGCAGTCACTGAGAGAAAACCTTTAAGAAAATATTCTGTAAACTGCTTCAGGTCCTTGCTAGAGGAGAAAACTGGGATAGGAAATAAACAAACATGCAAATAGAGATGCAAACACCACTGGCCCCCATGTCCCTCACATGTTTATTTGGAAGCAAAGTCACGTCGTTTTCTGCAAGACTTGTAGATAAGACTGCAATATCAGCTTTAATTCCAAGTGGTGTCACTGAGATGTCAGAAGCCACCACACTAACCCCTAAGTAATTGCACACAGGATGCTATTCATACAACCTATGCCTGGGCTGGTTTACTCAAAAGTGAATATGCCTAGATCATCATCCCAGCCCCATGGACTAGTTTGTTTTCACTACAATGGCTTAAACTGCAACCCTACATCCCCTTATCTGTAATTAAGCATCACTGAACTCAGTGGGACTTAAATGTACCATACAATGTGGTGTAGCCAAGATAGGGGTCACCACAAACCATGACGTCAACTGCTGTCCCACCCCAACTTTATCTTAAAGTCTAGATGAGAACCCTACATCCCCTTATCTGTAATTAAGCGTCACTCAACTCAGTGGGACTTAAATCTGAGAAAGCATGTACCGTACAATGTGGTGTAGCCGAGATAATGTCCCCAAGGTGAAAGCACTGGGGCATTGGGTCACCACAAACCATGACGTCAACTGCTGTCCCACCCCAACTTTATCTTAAAGTCTAGATGAGGTAGCAAAGATGTATTTTCTCAGCAGCAGTATCTTGTTGCTTCTGATCACTTCTGTAATGCCAAGTCGATTGGGGTGGGTTGCTCTTGAATAGGAAAGTATGGGTCACTGGCTTTACAAAAGACCTGCTCCCGTCCAAAGCATGAAGCATAACTGTTTTGGACTATAAATCCCTAGATGTCCCAGTGAGCAGGGCCATGCCAGCTGGCCTATCTAGACAAACGTAAAAACAAAAGTGTTGTGTTTATGTTTCTTGTGCCAACCCTGCATCTCATTTGTGCTTTTCCATCACTCTAATATGTCCAAAGAAGTGGATATGTCCATGGAAGCAAGCCATTGTGCAACCAGAGCAAGTATCAGCATGTGTGCTTTTCCATCACTCTAATATGTCCAAACAAGTGGATATGTCCATGGAAGCAAGCCGTTGTGCAACCAGAGCAAGTATGAACATGTGCTGGAATGGGGGGGGGGGAAGGCAGTGGTTTGCAACCTTCGGTCCACAGATGTTCTTGGACTACAACTCCCAGAAATCCTGGCCATCACAGCTAGAGGTGAAGGCTTCTGAGAATTTTGGTTCAAAAACATCCAGGGACCCCTGGTTAGGAATCACTGAGGGGGTTACATGATTGTCCCTCTGCTGTGTGTTCAGAGTATTGACTGCTGAATTAAAAAGTTGTTTGCAAGTGCTGCTTGCAGTGCAGATTAAAACGGATAGAACCAATCTGTTCATACAGATCAACTATTCCCTACCTCTATATGCTCAAAACATCTGGGGACCCATGGTTAGGAACCAATGAGGGGGTTACATGGTTGTCCCTCTGCTGTGTGTTCAGAGTATTGACTGCTGAATTAAAAAGTTATGTTTCCAAGTGCTGCTTGCAGTGCAGATTAAAACAGATAGAACCAATTTGTTCATACAGATCAACTATTCCCTACATTTATATGCTCTTTTGGGGAGCGATGCTATAGGAACTTATGAGCTTTTATACCTCCCCATTCACTGTGACACCACTGCATGTATCAGAATGTACTGTTAGTAATCATCAGAGGCCATACAAGCTCTCCTGTCACCCAAGGCAAGAAGCTAGGCACAGCTTCTCCACATTGCAGAAGGGTCATCATCATGACGCTATTATGGACCTCACTTCCACTGGCAATGAGGAGAAGAAAGAGCATCTGTTCCCTCATGAGGGCTCTTGATGCTCGTAAGTACAGGAGCAACCTGTCTTTTCCAATGACTATTTCAACAAAGTTGAGCTCTTGGATTAAATAGCAGCCAAGTTCTGGAGGTGATACTGAATGGTAAGGACTCTGTCTCCAGCGTCAGGCTGCTCCAGCAGGTAGTTCTGGCAGCTCCATCACCTCCTACAGTGATCTGGTACTTCAGACCCCTTCCTCACCAGACCTCAAAGCAGGGCCAGCCCGATTAGGATTCACATTCAAACCTTCAGAAGACTGAAGGGATTTGTTAATCGGGTTGTCCATCCTGGCTTCTCCATCCCCTAGACAGAAAAACAACTGGATTTATCAGCTGCTTGCATCTGTGTATC